AGTTACTGAAATGACTTTTTTATAGGCAGTAGTTTTTCAGGTGAAACACATACATAACGTTCTTTTCCGCTCATTAAAAAAGTTGTTTATACATCTTGGAATTTGATATAAAGTGGTCTTTCATTCCACAACACACACCTATACGGTATCCCTTCTTTGCAGAATATTAATGATAATTTAGCCTTAAAGTAAATAAGTAACAACAGCCGCTATTTAGCTATACATATCTATGGTATAAAGTACGATAAGAGTCGATAGTTGATTAGAGTGGGATTAGTGAGTCGGTAAGATGAGACGGAGCGGCGTATTTATTCGTGATAAGACTTATTTCTACGCACCTGACAACACATGTATTGTCCTAATACCAAAACAGGACATGGTACTGTTCTATTCTACTTCGAAATGTTTTGTTTAAATTAGGATTATATATTTTCACATCCGACAGTCAAGGCGAGATAGGGAAGTCGACAGACTAAGAAAACCGAGCCGTTATCTTTCGTTTCTACCTCGGCGCAAAGAAAAACACATGGAGTTTACACAGATACAGATTTGTCTTTCTCACAATTAGAGTTTCTTTATTCAAGGGATATTTACGACGATGAAAAATTCACAATAAATTACTTTTTCGACCTTGGAATATTGTGTTATATCTGGATAAAAATATTTTGTCCAACAGTTGTAGTTCTGTAGGTATTTTACAGGTTTATTTTTAGCGACTAAAATTTCAATCACTTGGGACTATTTTTTTATTTTAGTTACTAGCGTAATAAAATAATTATAATTTAAATATAACTATATATAGTGTATCTACTTTTGTTTATTTACAAATCCGTAAAAACTTTATTCTAGATAATTCAACAATTCTTTATATTGTGCTCCAAAAATAATTGAACTATATATTTTTAATCTTTATTATTAATTTTATATATTATTAGTCCTTCTCTCCTTCAAAGTACTGCTCTCATCTATTCACACACTTTTCTCAGCGGTGTGTTCATTTCGTCAAGCAGTTCTAGATAGCCTTTAAAATCTGTTTTGATGTTATCAATAGTTTGAATAAGGCGTGCTTTTAGCACTGATTTCAATTGCGCAAGCAACACGCAAGTAGCCAGATCTGGCGAGTAAGGAGGGTGAGGAAGGACAGTAATCTGATTTTTGACACAAAAGTGGCGAATTGATAAAGCTGCGCGGGCGCATTGTCATGGTGCAAAAACCATGAGTTGTCTCGTCACAACTCTGACCTCTTTTGCGGATTTTTTTTACGTAACAGTTGTAAAACACGGTTCACTGTTTCATCTTGAGGCAAGAATTCAAAGTGTACAGTCGAAAAAAACACAGTGATCATCACTTTGATATTGGATCGAGCTAACGTGCTTTCTTGGGGCGTGGAGATTCTGTGCCAATCCATTGTGATGACTGAACTTTTGTCTTAATGTCGTAGCCATAAATCTAGCTTTCGCCTTCCGTTATGATCTTTTGAATGAATGTTTCATCGTCATTAGTTCAAGGAGTTGCTGACAAACGTTCACACGATTTTCTTTATGTTGTTCGTGTATCAAAGGAGGGACAAATTTTGTTGCAACTCGATGCATGTTCAATTTTTCAGTCAAAACTTAATGACAACTTCCTCTGCATTTTTTACGACAGTCTGTAGGGGATTTGCATGCATCAGATCTTTGGCTTTTTGAACATAGGACTCATCATTTGAAGTCGAAGGTCTTGCTGGTAGAGGATCATCCTCAATTGACTGACGACCACTTTTAAATCGTGAAAACCATTCGTAATATTGCATACGACCCAGAGCATCATCTTAGTAAGCTCGTTTCAGAAGTAGAAACGTTTCCGTGAAAGTTCTTCCCAATTTCATGCGAAATTTTACGTTGCATCGTTATTCCAGAAAATCACACATTTCAGAAATCGTATATTAAAATGAAAAGTTGCATTGTTAAATTAGATTCTACTACAAAACTAACATAAGGGGGCTCATTTTTTGTGTGAGACGTTGCTATTGCAACCATAAAACAAGTAGTTGAAGGGGCAGCGGAAGCATTGTCGTTCAAAATTTTATTTCCAATCTTGATTTTCGACATGTCCTTCCGCTACTCTGTCGTCATTCCAAACTTCAACATGCTTCACAATCTGCTAAGTTTCAGTAATCTGGCTATAATTGTAGGTATTTTTCCGAACGTTTAATGTCTACAGGTTGAATGGCCGATATTTGAGAAACAGTCGGCTGGTTGTTGCATCCTGAGGATGCAAACTTAGGTATTTTCAGTACATCTGGCAAAACCATCACTCAAAATCATGATTGACTGCTCTTCGTGAGTTTTTGTGAATGGAAGACATCTTCATGGACAGCTTCACTAGTTTCTGAAGGAACACATTTTCCGTAAGATTCTTCGCGTTTTGCGAAACATATTATCAAACGTTGAATCGTTTATACACCAATTGGTATTGTTTTAGTGATTTTTGGGAAGTTGATCATCGCGAGTGATCTCTGAAATTTCTGAAGAGAGTATTTTGAAACTCATATACCCTATTATAATCACTATTAAACATTTTTAACTTGATATTTCAAACTATTAAGAACAACAATGACGACTTAACTTAACACTCATTATGACATGTATCGGTTCAGTCATGATAGTCAAATAATACTAGCCGTCGAAATGACATTTACAAAAATCGACATAGTTTTACAAAAATCATGAAAAATTGATTTAGGAGAATTCACACTATCGAAGACAAAACTCGCGGCTTTTAAAAAAGCTTCGCTCGTATTTTCAATTTAAACTTAGGGGCAAAACGTGGCCATGAGAAAGTGTTCTTCTTTTTTCAATATCACCTCAAACAAGGCTGAAATTAAACAAAAACGGATTTCCAAAATTTCGGTTTTTTTCAAATATTTCGAAAACTAATCATGTTATTTATGCTTGATTTTTTAGAGGCATAATGTTGGTCCCCTGATTACGCAACTTTGCCCCCATTTAAGCTACTTTGTACCTCTTACCGTTTCCGAGATCCCTGTAGTGAGAAGCGAATTTGTAACAGACTGTATAGGTATACAATTTTGGATATTGTTAGTTATAGTATAGTTTAATATTATTGTAAATGATGGAGCAATGAATTTTTAAAAAGACACTAAATTTTCCGATTTTTCCAGGTTTTCTTCGTTTCTAATTATCCGATCGGATTGATCGACATCATCGACTTGAGATGGCTCTTTTTTTTTTCGAAAACTTCATGTCACTGGAGTTACATAGATAACCCCAAATTTCTTTTTTTAAATAATATGGCGTGACTATCAGTTAAACAATACACTTGTTATAGGCAATAAACTGTATGCATGATAACAAATTGTCAAATTTTTGAAGCTCTAAAGGTCATTATTACTAGAAAGTTTTTAATAATTTTTTATTCGTAGTTTTTTAAAATATTGAACAAGCTGTTCAATATCAAAAATCATTAATAAATTTTACAAAAAGGTTCTTTTGTTCCACATTGATCGTATCCGAGAAAAAAATAAAACAAATATTTTGCAACAATTTTGAAAAATTGTTAAAATGACGTATTGTGCGAAATAGATAAAGCTTGTTTTGAACATAAATATATATATATATATAT